GACGTACTCCAGTCCGGGCATCATTACAGCATCAGCTGGACGGCGGTATTCTCAGACAATCCATCGATCTGTCTATCAAGTGCTTGTAGATCCAAACGCCCTATCAAGATGCCGGCGCAACTGTTCTTAGCAGTGATCCTGCTGCCGACGCTGTTTTGGTTATTACTTCATTAGAGGATGAGCGTCTCGATTCACTCGATCCTTCTTCGCATTTTCATTTGGCAGAAAGAGACCCATAGAAGAAAATACATCAAAGTAATGACGGTGTGCCGCCACGATACGTTTTTTGCGTTAGTACTATTTATGCTGTTACAGCTAACTGTGGTCTGTTGGTCCTATGCTTTGGTGTGAGTCCCTCGTCGTTCTGTCATGACAATAACTATGACCGAGTAACGTTCTAACGGGAAATATTAAAGCCCACAAACTGCTGGAATAATATTATTATTTTTACATTACATCATTTTGTAATAATAACACAATTTTTTAAGTATTACACCCTATGTGATATTACATACGAACAAATCAAGTCCAACTATAGTCGGTTAAGAACCAACCCATTGCCACTCTTCTAGCGACATGGACCCACATTTTAGGGTGTTCGAATACGCTCCTTGTATTCTGGAGATGTCTCGAAGTGCGCGTCTGTCTAACGACCGCGCTCCGTTTTTCCTTAATAAATCAAGCTAGGCTAATAGAAAGAATACATGTATGTTAACAATAAAATTAGGCTTAGTATCTCTTTAGTTAGTTTTAGCGGAGACTTTTAGAAGCTAGCCTAAGAGGACCGATCCTCGGCTTATCTTGAAGAGGGCACAACTCCCTGATTGGGGGCACCTTTCGGAATGACTAGCAGTTAGGTGCGCACGCTCGGCCTCATAATCAGCAATGCTGTCCGTCTAAATTGGCTCAAATTTGAAGGTGGGGCAGTAAAAAATGTTTGCGGTTTTTCCTCTTCCCAAAACTCAAGGAACACTGCAACGAAAAAGCTTTTTTAGACGACAGGGAATAGCTAAGGAAAAACAATCGATGATTGAGTTGGAAAGTACAGTTCAAAATGGATCAGTCTCTTTAAACGTCTTTGACCAAGTCGTACAAGAACAAACGACATCATATTATAAATCTCATTGAGCGCTACTGCAGTTGCCCGTCGTTAAGTGAGGCAACTACCTTAATCCGGCAAGTAATTTATATAATGCAAGAACTTAAACTTGCTTCGTATTTGGGAAACGTGCTTCTGTAATGGCGTGGCGTTGCATACATACACTATCGACAATTACGTATTCGTTATTGACGAAAGAGTCTTGTTACATATTTCTTCATTGGCGCTTTGATACAAACAGTAGCTACCTCACTTTATTTCTTCTTCAGTTGAGCTATTTTTTCCTGTAAAGATCAGATCCGAGACACGATCAGCCCGGTCATTGTTGAATATTCTTTGCAACATCCGTCCGCTGCAACATAATGTCGTGTTCCTAGACTTTGTCTGTTTTCGATCGCAGATTTAGTGTCTGTTTGGTTTCCGCTTTTTGTAGTATGCCACTCCTGTCGTTCATAGATGGCATTCAGTACACGAAACGTCGGTGGATACCTAGACCGCGCCGATTAATTTGGCGTTTTGCCCCTGTTACATCCGCCCTTCCGTGGACGGAAGGATCTTCCACTGGTTGGCAAGAGCACCATGCACCGTTCGCTAGCTGATGGACGCGGAGCGCCAGGTCAATTCCCCGAAACTTGATGTCGCTCGTCGGTAATTATCGCTGATGCTTTGTGGCGATGTGCAGTCGGGTGATTGAAAGATTTCGCACATTGAAGGGGAGGATAGCATCTACCCTGAAGCGTTGAAAAAGCCTTTACTACGCAAAGGAAATTCATTCGCTAGGATATCACCACAATTTTTTGTGGTCGCTCTAACGATCGCGGCCTTTGTCACCGCCATCGCTAGACCTAATCCATCAGAGCAATAGTTACAGCTGTACAATATTTCATGTAAGCATATTATGTGGATACCTAAAAACAAGTGGATGACTGACTATACTATATTGGATTTATGCTAGTGTAGCAGTCGTTGCCCAGGCGGCGATAAAGCATTGTCTGCGTAATCTTCGCATATAAAAAAAACTTTCATCATCATCATCATCATAAAACTTGCGGTCAATATAGAAGAGAGGCAAAAACGTGACGAACGTTTTGAAGAAGTGGCCAAGCCTTCGTTGATGGAGGCGGCGGGAGTTTTTGTCAGTTAGTATGACAGAAGTTGTTAATAAATGAGCAGGGAAAAGATCGGCTCTTCCAGAAAGCTAAAGAGAATGTTTTCGATTTTTGCTTTTACCATTGCTACTTGTGTTCGGCATTCAGCTGATGCAAGAATAGGTCTATTTTTCTCAATCGTGAGGAGATGGAAACACGAGTTAGAGATAAATGGGAAGCGTAGACAAATCCGAGTTCACGCAGTGCCCGAGTCCTATTTACACAGGACTGGTAAGGGTTTCTCCGACTGGGGTCAGAACGTCAAGAACGATGCTGCTCACACTTTACTACTTTGCCTTTGCCTGTAGGCGGCTAGAACCACAGTGAAAATAGTGACTTTCGGGCAATGGTTGCGAGAGGGAGACCCAAGTGCAAGACATCCTTCCACAGCTTTGACAAATGGGCTTGAGCAATTTATATGCGCCACGAAAAATGTATGGCCGCTAGGGGTAATGATGCTAGAGAGGCTTTGAAAAGAAATTGTAATTTTGATAGACTAAGTAAAGCTATATTTCCATAACGAGCATGTTTGCGTAAATAACACGGGTTTATTGTCGGGTTAACAGGAGTCGTATTGGGATCTTTTCAGACACCAACAAGTCTGGCCATGTCGAAGACCCGACGCGTGTGATAGCGTAATAGTATTAAATGAAGATCTAAATCGGAGGAATCATGAAGGGAAAATACAGAATGAGCGAGAAGTGGTCTCGGCGAAAAAAAGTCCTTGGCCTCCATGCAACAGGCTCTGCTCCGGTTGTTCCCTCACATTCTCTTAAAGAAGCCCCCGAGAGAATTGAACCATGGACAGGGCCTCTTTATCTAACCTATTCCCCAATGACGAAGAAGTGATGGGACTAACAAAGCCGGGCCTAACAGAGGACTAAAGAATGGATTGTGGTTTTAGTGGGCATTTACTTCGAGACCTCAGAACCCGAACATTTTTTACTTTGCCAACGGCGGAAAATGGGTCCGACACTCGAGGGCCTCGTATATCGACTACTGTGTATATATCCACATAGAACGCGTAAATATATCCCGCTTAATTTTTTTAAAGAAAAAAGAAAAAACAAAAAAGACACGCAATGGAATACATATTGACATGTGACGTCCAGCTATCGCCAACTCGGAGACAGTACAGGAGTAAGTCCAAGTTCGCTAACACAGATGAATTCATACGAAAGCCTCTAACAATGACATATCAACTGTTTATTTGTATAAATCGACAGATGGCGGCTCCTTCACCAAACAGCGTTCCGAATGATGATTATATAAGACAAATGCGAGTCCCGCTTCTTCTTTTCTTAGTAAGTCCTACTTACCTGCTACCGAAGCTATATACCAGTCACAATAAGGAAGACAGCAGTTTTTGTTGGTATTGGCCTTTCCACTCACAGACCTGTTTATTTCAAAAACAATGTTGCCTTTTTATCTGAACATGCTATCCGCCTAACTCTGTAGGAACTATACGAAAATAATCTGTCCAACATGACGTCCTGTCCTTAATGAATCCAGGTAAATGCCATTTCCGATATATTGTAACTGCGCAGGCTGTCGTAGGCTAACAAGGCCTGAAAACATTTGACCTGATCGCCGTCAGGTTAAATATTTTCTGCAGTGTCTGTGAGTGACACGTAATATAAGCTTTCCTCGATTGGCATATAGACTTAATTGAATTGCAAATAATTATAAGATAAGTGTCAGTCTACCATTCATATAACACCGGACTTATTGCCCTTACGATAAATGATGGGCATTCGCTTGCACCGCGAGACAAGGTTAAGGCGGCCAGTCCTCTGAGCGAGACTGAGGCTTGGAAAATGGCGTTACTTTTCGATCGGCTGAAAAATTCAGTTGTTCACTATATAACAGCGGCGTTGACTGCACGTGTCATGAGTAAATCGGTGCCATTTTCTCATTCCATTATAAACCACATGGCGCCACTTAGAAAGCGTAGCGTCTAGGGGATGGAGATAGCGCTTATGCGGTCGCCGCCGACGACGATGAAATGAGTCACGCATTGTTGGTGCTGTGATCTACTGCGTCGCTCTATAAGAACCACAGAAGTGACCGCCAGACGTCCAGCGTCCCCATAAATCCTAGTCCTATCGTATCACCTTGTATATACAGTATCCAAAGCATGCAAAACCTGGCTAAGGTCCTCCGATTAGTTCCAGAAAATAGAACTCTAATAGATATTCCAGAGTATTCTGTTAAAATGTTAGAGAAATCCAACATATAGCTTTCCCAATGGAGCTGTACTTAGCCCAGCCACTGGCAGCTACTGCTGCTGCTACGAGACCTTTCGCCTTCTAACATCTATCAATCGAGTCAGCCCGCTCCACTCTGGTTTTCTACTATATCCCGTTGGTATAAGTCTACCGTTCATTTGTCCGTCCGTCTTCAGGTGCCTGTTTGTGTTACGACGGCTGTTGTTGTTGTTGTTGTTGGCGGCGTAAATTGTAGCGCTAGGCATTATAGCAAAAGGGAAGAGATTCGATGAACCGAAATACATCACGGACGCGGCAGCATCGTTTTCCCTGCGAGCACCGATACACCCCTGCACCAAATGATCCGCGCGTTCAAATAGTTAAACTTGTGGTGTTGCTCGCAATTGATTTGATTATTGGGGCAGTATCAGATGTCGCTGAACTTGGGTAAACGTCTGACCATTTCCGTTGGCGCTTCGCATGGCCAAAGACCAGAGAACGACGGCATTGAGACTAACGACGGGCAAATATCAACGGAAAAAAGGTGTTTTTTTTGCACCGCCATTGTCCGCGCGATAGTTTACTATTCTCTGCCTGTCAGCCAGCCAGCCAGCCAGCCAGCCAGGCAACCACCTTCAGTAACAAAGCGCACGCTATTTATGCGGCTGTCGTGCGTTGGAAGCGTGTGAGGGTGCCTATCTGAAAAATAGTTCTTGGACCTGTGAAAGGTACTCGGCGGATTCTGTTAGGACCACTCGATAAGGTCGTCGCGGTTGGTCGCAATTTGTGAAGACGTCTCGGAGTGAGTTACGTTTGAATTTGATTGAAATACATAGATCTGACTTACTATTATTACTAATTCTTGTATTTCCATGATCATAATAAAAATGTTTCTCTTAGAAGCTTTCAAGTTTAGTTGGACAAGTATAAACAAATTGTTGTTGTTGTTGTTACTTTGTAGATATTCAAAATTGTTTTGATGTGAATTAATCTCTTCTCATTTACCAGATGCTATCGGCTTATGGCGGTACGATAGCTGAGTGAAAAATTGACGACCTGTGACCCTGGAAATTTGTGAGAGACCTGTGGTTTTGGTTTGATGGGTTCTTTAATACCTGTAGCTTCACCTAACGTTCTACGGTGATAGACGGGAATCAGCTAGGGTGACACAAATTTGAGTTCTTGCCTAAATACCAAAAAATTTTTCCTATGAAAGCCTTTTCAAAAATTAGATTACTATATTTTTCTTCTGTACCGCTCAACGACAAAAACAGGATCAATTTTTGTTCGAAAAACCTTTCCAAAAATTAAGAATTAATCATGGCTTAGACACGAGAGCAAAAAGATTACTTACCGCATCACATATTGTTCGACCAGAAATTCGCTACGAGTTAACTAATAACACATTTACGGTTTTTTTTTTTTTATTTCACATTTAGAACTCAAATTATGATGTACTGACTCGCAGATACAACGGCCTTGAACTCCATAGTGGTTATACGTTTGTCGTAGGTGGCCAGAGATTTGTTTGATATAGCGTAAAGAATAAAAGTTTTGGAATCCAATCTGAGCTTCATAGGTGTGAATATTTTTGTCAGACTATTTTGGACAATCAGACTTTTTGTTGGAAAGTATAACTGCACAATGTATATAAGTTTTACAGTGTTAAATTTAACCGTGTTTTCACAGACTCTCCGAACAGTTGGCCTTGGTGAGAGTAAAACCCGTGTGTCTCTAGTTGAAAGCTCTTTGAAACCGGTAGTCATGCCCATTGTCCGGATCTCTTCATTTATGCAGAGTATTCATCTGGGTCGAGCAGATCGATTTAGAATAGAGGTGTTTAACCTGGTCGTGGTACGACTATTCAGTTTTTGTGCTGCTGCCAATTATAATGTTAACTATATATCAGTATTTTTAAGTGCCTTCTCAAGGCACTTAAAAATACTGATCATTAACAATAACCAACATACTTTATTATTAAAATGATTTTTTATTTAATACTGGAAGAAGGTTTTATTTTTGCCTCCATTAAAGCTAAATTTGTTTCAGGGTGCTTATGGTTGAAAGGTTCGTGATTCTATTCGTATTCTAAGAAACAGCATCCTTTACTATGCCTGCCGCAGTATTCTGAATAATTTACGTCGCATAAAGCCTTTTACATTGAATTCGTCATAATTACGGAGACTTCCTCTTTTGTTCACGGGAAGCGCTCGGGTTATTTCCCGGCCCAATAAGCTGTTCGATATAATATTGTTCGATAGATCATCGTAAAGTGCGCGCACAATTTTCATACCCTAACACACTAGTGCCATGGGTCTAGTTTTAAATACACATATAGCCCCCTTTATTTGTATACGAATGTATCTATGCCGAGCATGGCATTTCATGCAATCGAAAAAAATCAATTTGAATATTACTATTTTTGTCGTTTCCTCAAATTATTTAATAACTTGAGCAAAAACTTACTTTCACTTTGACTAGACAGAACAAGTTTGAGCTCATAACTTGTCAGCAATTGCTCCTTAACAGAGGGGCAAAGTTAACAAACCTCTACCTTTTTTTGCCGTATCTTGCTGTATGTGACCCGAAAAAACCGTGCTTATAACTTTAATTTCTTTTGCAAAAATAACTTATCAAGTGCGTGTTATCCCCTTCACACACAAACCAGAGGAACGAGAAAGTTTTCCACGTTGTGCAACTTCCCCTTATGCCTGCTATCAGCATATTCAGCCTCTCCGAAACGCCTGGAACGTATGCAGTAGCTTTCACTCCCTTCTTTCCATGTACCTGGCGAGATTCCTGAGCGGATTCTCTGTTATCCGGCCGTACATTTACCATATGATTTCTGGACAGCTTTATAAGCGTATCTCGGAAAGAACTTCAGCACTCCGATTTGTGTTAGAGACTTAGCCTACATGTGTCTGTGACTGAACGTACTGACTAGAACAATTTTTTTGCGACCGTTTAATGTGTCTATTGTATATGTGTGTTGTTATTTTCCTAACACATAAATCCTATGATACGGTTTGGGTAAATTCGGTGTCTATTTCCAATAAAAGCGTCTTCTGCCTCATATTGTGTCATTACAGGCTATCATCTTTGCAAGTTTCAGTGCTTTTTCTAACGGCCCCTTATGTTCGCGTCGATTTGATCGTCGATAGTATTTGAAACTCGAAAAGAAATACGCTGTCAACGATGGGGGTGTTCGATTTGAACAAGTTGTTGTTCTTTAGCATTCTTTGGCTTACGGCGAGAACCGCCGATATCGAATCTTCTTTGGGACCACAGTCAAGATTGAGGGCCGCGCTCTTCCCGTTGTCCTCAAAGTCCTCCGAAGGGACGCCGGCAGCCGCTGTCCCTGCTATGGTCGAATCTGCTATTACTACTACAACCACCGCTGAACCTACTACCATTTCTTTAATGGTTACTTCACCAGCGACGACGGAATATGAGACGACGATTAAGGCTGTTTCATGTCCTAATGGCCAGGACCCGATCATCGACGTGAGTCTATCTTTTTACTAGCACAGTTCAATATGAATGTGGCCATACAACAGATGGCAACTAATTACACCCAGTTGTAGCAATGCGAAGTTAAACTTTTCGATGGACCTTATAAGCAGCTAACAAAGGACGGCTTTTTGAATATGTTCTATGCACGGTAATAGAGTATGCTGTGAAAAAAAAACACATAAAATTTTTAAAAAGATGATTGCGGTTGAGTACCGAAATGAGTGGAAAATCGTTGTGGGCCGTACGAATGACAATAATGTAAGTGAAGTTTGACGGGGTCTGAATTAAAAGGTCGAACTGATGTCCGCAACGAAACGAATAGTGCACAAATACAGCCCAGCCTGTTAAATGCGAGTTAGTTGATAAATAGAAAGCGGGACACTTTCCAAAATCAATGTCAGTTTCATACAATATTCGTTGAAAGAAAAAAAAAAAAAAGATTTTTTTCATAGTGTTCCTCTGATCGTCAGAACTAGACTACTCTGCGCGTAGTAGACTACTCTGAGAATAGTAGTTTACAATGATCTTAAATCTTGTCTCTGAGTGCAAAAAAATTACACATGCCACTTAGCCGGGATATGTGATGTTCTTAATGAACATGAGATTACTTCCATATATTGATAAGATTATGTGAAATCCGCTGCGCACAGGGTGTCCTCGGGTTATCACTGAACTTTTTGTGTTTACTTATGCATAAACACGGAAGAAATCTCGGGACAGTTTAGCCAATCAGTCATTACGGCTGTATATTTCTCCCATGGTGTGGCATAAGCTGTAAGGGCTGTCGTACAATCCGCCTGCCTGTGTTTCCAAATTCGTCTTCATATACTTTCCGACGCCTAATGAAAAGTTGCTCTTTTTTAGTGAAAATCTCCAACTTATTTACATCGAATGATCTAGACAATTATTATCTCTGAAAAAAAAATACGGTAGGATGACATAGTATACTGGCCGTGAACGGTAGCGAAGATTCTGTATAGAAGGTGAAGCTTATTTATTTTTTGCTTTTAGTTTGTTTATAGTATAGTTACTAGTAAGTTTTATTGTACTCCACTGGGAAGCATCAAGTAAACTATAGAGCACATGTCACGAACCCATCGAAACTAACGACCATTGATCTGTGCTGGACTGATTATCGTTGTCAATTGTTTTTGCCCGCCTAACATCGATCACCAAGCAGATGTCTTTCTATTGATATGATAACCTTGTGAAAATATAAGAAGCTTCAACATTTTAGCACACGCCTATTGAAATATACATCGACAGATATATATACATGTGCACTATTATAACCAGTCTAATATTTTAGGAGACATCGTGTTTTATCCTCTGTCCTCGTGCGGCGGTATTCTATGATTCACCTGGTCCGAAGCCTAAGGGGATGTCATGTATAATCAAAGAATACCTACAGGGAACCAATTCTCTTAAAGCAAAACATTCGGGTACTTGCAATGGCGGGGGTCGATGCATTAAACGCGACGGTATTACAGTCACGACGATGGGGGCTAGCAGCATGATTGCTTCCACCACTCCGGTGACAGGGACAACCGTAACTCAGGCCTTGTCCATCGCAGATCTCAGTGTCTCAACTAGCAGTCATCCTTCGTCAGAAGATCGATCCTTGATGAATTTACCGCCGACGACCACAGCAGTAGCCTAATGTGCTACCACAAATTACTTCTATTAATCGAAGTGGTGCGCCTAATAAACGAAACTGCAAGAAATCGAGCATAGTACGCCAGTGTTTCTTATTATGTTAATCACTTCTCGTTCATCCGCACTCATCCGCACTATTCCAGTATCGTATCTGTCAACGGTCAGCCTTCGATTTGCCTATATAGAAAGGTGGAAAGCTATATAGATAGCTTAATGTCCATATTTATATGACTTCAACAGTTGGGATGATAGAATTAGAGGAAAAGCCCCCCTGTGTATTGATTGCACCTATTAAGTACGAAAACTTGAGCCTGCGTTGCCAATAGAATTCGTTTTGCTCCGAGCACGTATATTTGTTTAGTTAGCCAATGGTTAAATAACGCGTGCGCCTAATGTCTCAATGATTATATGCAGTGTTTGGAAATGGGGTAACTATGATACCTCTATAAGTTAGCACTATAGAATACTGACGAGAAATGTAAACAGACGTTTATAAGTTATACGGCTTTAAATTGTCGTGCGTTCAATATTAATAGGTACATCCATTAGGGCATCGTATTATCAGAGTTCGTTTATACGGCTTTTGTCCATTGTTCGAATCATGGACTTGACCGATTTAAATAAATATGCCTTCGGGAATTACATATGCGAGATCTGATTCAACATTAAAACGATAAAACATTAAAACAAAAAAACATTTCGTCGATCGACATACGCTGGCCTGCTACGAAACATTTGAATCATTAGCCCGTTATTTAAGGACAGCTACCGAAAAGTATAGTCCCAATTGAAATTTTACGAACGATTGTCTTTGGCTACAGTTTTGTCAACGGGATTTAGCCGGGATTCAGCGACCCAACAATCACACGTGACCGTCGCCCGTAGTGATAGATTGACCAACAGCCAGAGCTGTTTATATGCCCTGTTGATCAACGATTTAGCAATTTCCATGGCCACCGCTAGGGATCAGCGACAATTGGTCATTTTTTTCGTCTTCTGAAGCATAACAGGGAGTTCGTTTTACAAAGGTCAATAGTGACGTATTTTGAAAGTTCATACATATATACGTTAAAGATGCTTGTACCAGACTTAAGGTAACGACTTTGTATGCAAGCGCACGACACTTGCAATAGCGTATTTCTGAGCTGATATCTCGACTGGTGCCGTTTTTTGAACCTTCGTGGCAATCTGACTTCGATCTGACCAATCGGTCGGTTCGCCACACCTTATCTTTTCACATCACATTCATATGAATATATATATGCCGCTATTTACTATTATACATGTATATAGACTTGAAAATGAGCTTACTCAATCGAACCTCGCAGTATCGACTCTAATATTATAGAAAAGAGGCGTATGTTGAGTCTTCCGTGGGGCAGTATCGACGATACCCGTAAACGCAATGGAAATTCATCTGCTCCGTCTTTTTCTACGATTTCGTGAAAACCAACATTTTCGATACAATCTACGAATCGCTGCTGTTTCTGCTTCCGTTATTCTGAGATTATAATCGTAGTCGTAAGGGAATCGTTTACTCAATGTTTTTCTACCGTCGAATATCGTCGTAGCTTGATGGGATGAGGTGGACGCCACCTCCCTACTTCTTTGCGATGTAAATAATATCGGACCGCTTCCCACGAGCTCGAACAGCCGTCTGCCGCATAACCGCACATGTTGTGGTCCGTATTCGGTAATCGATTGAGCTTCACTGCAGAGACTTTTGCTGAAGGAAAACTTTCACCGTCCAGCGCTTTCGAATGTCTCGGCGTTCTGGGAAGCGTAAGGAAAAACGTCGTCCATCATATAATACGTTTATGCAGAATGCAAGTTTTGTTCTTTCGTAAGCAACATTGCGACGCGTAAACATTTGAAGATACAGCATAGCAAATGGCAACGGAAAACTGTTCTAGATCGGCTTTTTTTGTTTCGTCGGCTGGTATAGGATGCTGTGCCGGACGTTTCAACACTTCGTACAGACCCAAATATGTGAATCGCAACTCAGTAACACTACCTTTCAGGCTCATTATTGCACCGATAATATAAATGGCTGACAAACTGATACATGGGTAAGTTCTGGAGATACCACCTCTCTGTGTTAATCGGGCCTTTAAGAGCTAGTTAAGGTGATATTTGCAGGCTCTTTTTATTAATTTCTTGGCATATAACACCGGGTACTTTCAACGTATTTGATTTCTCAGCTTTTCGTTCGTGACAAAAGTTAGTCATCTTTTATAATAGTTCCATACTGCTGTTATAACGAATTGCATTGACTTTTATTATAAATAGGTAAAGTGTAATGTCAGTTTCCCAATCATCGCAGTCAACCTCCTATGCAGGATAGTTTTATCGAAATGCTTAGGTCGCAAACGTTCCCTTCGGATGATAAGACATAGTACAATACATAGGCATACCATTCAATACACAACTAGGGAACATTAGCCACCTAAACCTATTCAGCGACGAATGGTTCAAGCGAGTCCTACTCTGTTTTTTTGGGTATCGGTGCCGTGAAAATTTGGCTAAAACTGGTGACCAGCAATCGCAGTTTTTCTTCATATCGTTACGGTTCTACAATACCTGACGTCATCGAACCAAGGCACCATCAAGCATTTACTCGCACCATGTTCGATTAATTTATTTATGATTTTTTTTTGTGCAGAGAAATTGGCCTGATTCGTATTGTCGACTTGATGTTATCTTACGGCTGCTGCAGAACGCCCGCTATAGCTATGTGTTGTACCGCGTTTGGCTCTTACTAATTGCCATTTAGCACCCATGCTATTGCTTGCCCCCGGTGACAATAATGATTCGACTGGTTCTACAGAAAAAAAAAACAGTAACATTGTATGTAGACGATGTTTGGTAATGATCTAAAAACAGGAAGAAGAGGTAGACGGCTTGCTAGCTTCCCGAATGGTGTTCGTTACACAGTGATTTTGACTCGAACAGCGGCCACGAAGACACACCTCGCAGGGGGCGACGATCCGTTCTGCACTCTCAGTATAATAACAATGCAATATTACTGCCCGTGATTATTGGTTTCGCCACCCGTCCTCCCTACATTAGGAGTCTTTAGCTAGCCACCATTGTTATCAACTTTATGAAGCCATTTGGATGTTCCCTGTTCGTGACCGAACGTATTTCTGCATAATAGATGTTGGTACAAAAATATTTCATCTTTTTTGCTCGCGGCAAGAAAAGGCACGTATGAGTTTGAAGCGCGTTAAATCTGATTTGAATATTATCGTCATTAGTTTCTTCCTGCTGTGCCACGCATACAACTTCGAACGATTTGTGTCGTAGAACCGGTTTGAAGTAATCGATCCTCATGGCAAATGGACGTCAGTGCATCTTTCGACTCGGTAAGTTGCACTGAGGCTAGGAGACAAAAGCAATGGTACGAAACAAAGGAAACAGATGCCAGAATAGAAATAAAGGCCAGACAACTTTTCTTTGCCCTATTTTTTCCTAATTCACACGAACTCAGTTGCTATTAGTGATCTTATCCATATGTATATATATAAGTGCTTGCCAAAATGTAAGAGACGTTGGTCAATATCAGTAATCTTATAGGTCAATAAACTAAATACGCATGGTATGCGACTACCTGTAATATTGCAACACAGGAGTTTTTTTAAATTAAAAAAAAACTTGTTGAAATCTATTCTAGGACAAAATTTTACAATTTGCTACTACTAAAGAAAATTTGCTACATATTTAGTGCGGTAGTATGATTTAACTTGGTCAAATAGCTTTCTGATATGTACAGCATTTGCATATTTCAAATACAAAAAACTCATTACTTTCGTCGTATAGTTTCGTGTACGATTATCTAATTACCATTGATACAATTCAGCGGTGCCGTCGTGTCTCTAATAAGAATCGCATTGCTGGCAATAATTATAGTGATGATGGTGAGCCTTGAAAAGCAGATAACGCACGAGACGACCAAGAGAAAAGACCGAAGAGAAAGATAGGAAGGAACAAAGAAATCAAGTTTATTACAAAGGCCCGTACCGGTTAAGCGAGAAATCCCAGAAGTTCCACTCGATCGACACTACTAAGGCCACTGTCGACTCACAAATTCCTATCACAGTAGTTCCTTTCTAGTAAGCGATATTGGCATGGAGGCATTTTTGCTTCAGTGCAGATTTTGTGCTTCGAAAAAAAGCCTCACGAAGTGTTCAGGGAGGCAGAACTACAAGCACTACTTACTACCCGTGTACACAGTTCCTGGTTACGGCAGCCCACCGATCGTACTCGTCTGGCCTTTTCTATTTCTAATAACTGGAGCTGGATGAATAGTAATATTAATGCTACGCTAATTTGCAAAAATAACGAGAATCACATAGGAGAGAGAGAGAGAGAGGAACAGTCCCTGACGGGTTACTAAGATGGTGCCCAACCGCCAGCAAGCAGCGGAACAAATTTTCGGAGACATTTTTTCGAGAGAAAAACTGTCTATCAAAATGCACTCATTGTATGACTCGTTACCTGTTACCCCTTCACTCTCTCGTCCATCACTGTGCACATCAGAGATAGAGGGCCATATCACCTGAGACGATCTATAGCGATTTGCGGCTGTCATTGCAAGTGTCCAGGTTGCGCCAACCAACTCCTAATATCAGAGCTTAATTTACATATGATGGCAAATACGTCATGTATCACATACACACCTGCAAGCAAATTGTTGCTATCTCGTGGGAATCCGAACGTTGGCTGAAAAATCGAAGGCCAGATTTCGTTAGTCATCAGAGAGGGATGATGTCCTGTCATCAAGTCAAAGATGCCCCGCAGTGGCCGGTACCTCTTACAAACAAGTATTCAAATAGACCAAAATCAATGTTTGGGAGACTTGGAAAAAGGCTGCGTTCGGATATACAACCGATGGCTTAAACAAACGTCACCACTAAGTGTTAGCGACTAACGAATTGTTCATTCAAACTGTGAACCTATTGAGGGCCTTCAATAAAAGCCTACGTTTTTGATGAGATAGAAATTATCTCCATAGTTCGTAGATCACACCATAGTTGCTGACTGTTATTTACATAAATTATAATATACAATGTAATTTTTCGTGCATTTCTCACATTTCCTTATTTACCTTTGTTAGTCCACTGCTTTCCTTTCATAAGTCACACGAGGTAACTCATTACGGTTCAATTAATAATATTTCAGCTTCTCCCTGATCAGATGAGAGTATGATTGGCCCAATTAGCTGCTCTGCCTATGACGAAATAGGACCAATGCAATATATACGACTAAGGGGTTCAAGCATAGAGATTCTCTATTCTTAACCTATTCGACATAAGC